GCAGACACCCAAAACGGAGAAAACGCAGATCTTCACTTTGGCCGGAGTTTTTAAAAAGATCTGTTTTCGTGTAAAAAAACTCCGATTTCGTGTGGATGACAGGCCAAAACGTAGAAAAATATCCACGTTTTGGCAGATCCCCGGCTACGTGTGGACAGGGCCTTATGGGCTCGACACACGGGAGGCGACAAACGACCGCGATCAGCGAAATTTGTCGCTGTCGCTTTTATTACCTGTCACACGGGAGGCGATCTGCGGCAGCGGCAAAGCCGTCTACGTGTTCTGTTCCATGGCGAAATCGAAACTTCCGTTGTTTTGTTTGGCTGTGTCAGGTTGGAGGGAATTAAGGTTATTTAAGCGGTTCAGAGTTAATAAAGTGGTAGATATGATGTTTCACAAGGTGCTGTTAGAGTTATGTGAAATCTTACTTCTGATTTTACTATATAAAACATAATAATAATCAACTTCTCCTCCATGTTTGCTCGGAGATGTGCGGAGCATAATGTCCGCTCATTGGTCAGTGAATGAAACCTCAGTTGATTGGTCCTCGTCCGAGCGACAGCGATGAAAAGTTGAAAATGTTTCAACTTTCTGGGATCGCGTCGCTGGGTCGTCTGTGCACGACACGTGCACAAGTGCAAAATTTCACACGCACGTTTTTCGCGTTTCGCTTAGTAGGAGAGAGACCCGCGATTATCGCTTTTTTCGTGCATGTCTCATTGAAAATGAATGGAGGAGAGGCGATGTCGCCTCCCGTGTGTCGAGCCCATTAGTCTACAGATCTCTGAGCCAATCCCAAAAGGTTGTTTTGGACTTTCTCATGTCCTGCTGAGGAAACCAAAACTAAAAAAAACAGTGTGGTGCAGGTGGCACGTGTCAGATTATCTCTGAGGAACTACAAAGGCACTCCAGCAGCACATATCCTGAGACATGCTGCTGAAATTATTGCTCAGTGATTAAAACGACTGTTGCACATCTTTGTTGACTACACTTTCGGATAATTAAAGAGGACAGCTCTCTTTATAATATCTTCCCTTCGGCCACTGTTGTAAAGGACACTCTGAAGATCGTTCAATCAGGTGAACAGATATCTAAAGACAAGAACTCTTTAAAGTCTCACTCCGCCACTTTAAAAAAAATGGTTTTGGAATTCTAAAATTAAACATTTGAAAGTTTTTGCTAAGAGATTATGTGCATGCATTTACACGCCCTTATTTCTTTCTACCATTAAACGATGATGGTTTGCATCAAATTGATCTTAAGATGGGGGTGATTTTCTCATATGTCTGAACTTGACGTGAAACGAAGATGCCAAAGCAAAATTATGCATGACTACTTGCAACAGGATGTATCATCAGGGTATTTATGCTCTATAAATATTAGAAACACACATCCAGGTGAGTCAAGGCCACTGCCAGAATTGCTAATGAGAGCAGAACAAAAAAATAAAAATAAAAAACATTATAAATCGTCACTGGTAGCATCCGCTTGTGCTAGAGATGTCTCCTAGAGAAATGTCTGGAACAGCCTTTAGTAAACAAACTCAGCTGTTTTAGGGTCAAATCTAGCTAACTGTTGTTTGCAATGAGAATTGCGGAGCATCATCCTGATGGGTTTAATAATCCACTCAATGGAAATAAGTATGGGACATTTTTTTAGAGCCTTTAAATGACAATTAATTTAAGTTTTTAAAGCTCTCAACCCTCATCTGATTGATCATATTCAGATAAAAACATAAAATAGCAATCTGGAATTTTCCCCCTTTTAGGATTTATGTATGATTTTTATTTTTTCTAAATCTGTGATAGTCTTACCCTATACTGTGACTACATTTAGGCAATACTTCAGCTTATTATATTGCTAAGACTCATCCCATAGAGCTTTGTGAAATTTGAATTCAGCCCCATTCAACATTAACCAATAGTGTTAGACATTTACTTACGTGCACATGTTAATCACAGATCGGGCACACGCGTTTGCTGAAGTACCTTTGTAGAGTTGGTAATATTTTTATGGACAAATTTTGTTTTTATATATATTTATATGAATAAACAGCATAACATGCGACTAATATTAGTAAAAAAAATGTGTTTTAGCACCGCTGCGATCATGGAAGTAGGGAGAGGGACTTAAGGTGCAATGCATTTCTTCACCTCTAGATGGTGGCCTCTGAAAATCAATCAACCAATCTATCTATCTATCTATCTATCTATCTATCTATCTATCCATCTATCCATCTATCCATCCATCCATCCATCCATCCATCCATCCATCCATCCATCCATCCATCCATCCATCCATCCATCCATCCATCCATCCATCCATCCATCCATCCATCCATCCATCCATCCATCCATCAACTTTCCACCTTATTTTCAATAACATGTCAATAAACCGTGAGAAGGGTCATGTTTCCCAGAAAAAAACCTCAAACTGCTAATATCAACATTATAATCCCAATTAATCTCTATGATCTAGAAAAAAAAACACTCTGCTCAAATAAACTAGATTGAAAAATATCACTTCAATTAGCAAGCTACTGTTAGATTTTCCAACAGATGTTAAAAGAAAGAGACATCAAGAGGTTTCCAGATTTGCTCTGACCATATCACAAAAGAAAACTAAACACATGAAAACACTTCTCTCCATGGCGCCGAGGCACAGGCTGCTAATACAATCCCTTTAAAACAGTCCAAGCTGCGCTTCATTAATCAAAGCAGTAGAGAATGCCAGAATACCTGATCTAAAATTTGCAGCAAAGAACATCAGAACAATTATACATCTGTGACCGGTTTTCCTCTCTTGATAATCCGCCTCTCTGATTTGGTTTGAACCACGGGCAACATAAACATAAACAGTTTGAAAGCGTCTTCCCGGGAGTCTGACATTAGTCCCCCAAATAATAAGACTGAATTGGAAACATGGCCTATCAATTAATTGCTTGTTTATTTTAATAAAAGCTGTGATAGGCGATATGCTGAAGTGGAACGCTTCACCAGATACGCAGCTATTAAGAGACAGGCTCAGGCTATACTCACACTCTTTTTGGCCGCGTGCTTCGAGACTCTTGACGTGCGCGCACACAAACGCCAATAAAAGCAAATACTCTTTTACATAATTCAAATTTCACCCTACTTAATGAGGGCACTTTTTCCCTTCTTCATCATCTAATGATCTTATGCATGATTGCAAATAAAGTCAGCACGACAATCTGCTGGGATGCAAACAATCCTTATAGAGCCCCAAAACACATACTTCACCTGATGAACCGGCAATGTGGTTCATGTCACCACATCACATTAAAGATTTATGTCAACAAACAAGGAATCTCTGCAGATTGTACGAGCACGACACGCCTACAGAAAGGAGCCAAGCTAGTGACCTTTGTGTGGCGGCTGCAGAAATTACCATACTTCCTTGTTTCCATGAGGGACCGAAGAGATAATGAATAAATGAATACATTTAGTTGTTGTCATGATCGATGAGATAACACAGACTGTGTCCCACCAAAACAAGATAAACATTCGGGATCAGCTCAGATAATTTGACAAATACATTCAATTTGGTTTCATTTATTGTGCCAAATCACTAAAAGTCATATCGGGAGCACTTAATGTAGTAGGGTCAAGACCCTGCTATGTTGGAAAGAGAAAGCCAACAGTTCCCTTGGAGCAAACACTTGGTGACAGCGTCTTCTTGTTGGCTTATTGGCAAGGCTAAGTTGTCACATTTGCTTAGTCTCGACCTGAAGTATTGGTGCACTGAAGTTGCTAAAGTGCCGTTTCACCGTTTTCGTCTGGAAGACAGAAATGTGATTCTTTCTGCTACGGATTTGGCATCTGACCTATAAAGTAAATGCTTCAAGCTTTGTAGAAGGGCAAACCTTATATGGGTGGCCACTTCACTTGACTGAAAAAATCTGGAGTAACAACAAAACACAAAAACTCTCCAGAAGGACCCAGGGATTGAACAATTAATTATTTTAACTTAGAATAAAGGCGAGATTACCGAGTGCCTAGCAAAAGTTTTCATACTACTTGAATGTTAACATTTTTTGACACATTAAAACAATATATATATATATATATATATATATATATATATATATATATATATATATATATATATATATATATAGATATTGTCTGTAATAGAGCAACACAAAGTAGTTCATCATTTAAAACTGCTTAGAGGTGTGGTTAACTGAAAACCCATTTTTAATTATTATTTTTGATTATAATCGGCCACTCTGAGCTTTTCCTGTAGGCTAACCATGTAAATAGTCTCTACAACCATCTCCTGCATTAGCTTCTGATGGAAAAGAGACGGTGAAAATCTATGATTTGAAAATCCTGGCAGAGTTACGTCACACTGTCACTTAACATAGGGACTCGCCCATCTTGACCCATGACGCAGAAGACTGTTGGTTTGGCATCCTGGAAACAGCAGAGAATGTTTTGGCTAGTAGAAGCTAACAGTTAGAATTAGCAACATCCACCACACAGTAGAACTCCTTCAGGCTTGTGTTATTTGTGGAGATAAAACATCAACGTTGCAAAGCAAACAGTGTCGGTATAAGAGTTGCATTGCTGCTAGCCAATCAGAGGAGAGATGTCCAAATATCAGGAAATAAGACTCCAAATCTGAAGCTCAACTCTGATGGGGCAATTCTTTTGTTCCAGAAACTGGTGCACTAGGGCTTTTGTTTCCCAGAGTGTGACTTACACGGCCTTCATTCCTACTAGAGACCACTGGAAATGTATTGATTAAACGAGTAATCCACACCTTCCAAATTTTTAAAACCACGTATCAATTTAATTCCACTTTGTGTTGGTCTATCCCAGAAAAAAGAAAACTGTGAAAAACAAGTTTACGTTTGTGGTTCAAAGGCATCAAAATGTGTAAAAGTTCAAGGGGTGTGAATACTTTTGCAAGGCATTGTAAATGAACTTCATCATGAAATGAAGTTAGATGTGTTGCTGTTTTTTGACACTCCCTACCTTTGGGAGAAAATGTCTCTGTAGGGGCTGCCATGCTGCATGGCGATGCCATATCCACGATCTGGTGCGCTGCTGCTTACGGTGTAAAAGGAACAATCCTCGTCATTATTGGCGACATATTCCAGCACCGCTGCGTCCCACACGAAGCCAAATCGTCCATATTTCACCTTAAATGACAAGAAAACAAATTGCAGTGGTCACAAAGGTGCAAGTTCATTTCCTGCACCCCTTTGATCAAAAAACGTCTGAGTCAAGGCTGAACATTTTATGCGAGAGAAATCTACAAGGAAGTAATGTTGCACCAATATTACACTCATATAGCCCATTACAGAATAGCAATTTCCATCCATCCATCCATCCATTTTCATCTGCTTATCCGGAGTCGGGTCACGGGGGCAGTAGCCTAAGGCGAGAGGCCCAGACTTCCCTCTCCCCAGCCACTTGGGCCAGCTCCTCTGGGTGAATCCCAAGGCGTTCCCTGGCCAGGTGAGAGACATAGTCCCTCCTCCGTGTCCTGGGTCTACCTTTAGGTCTCGTCCCGGTTGGACGTGCCCGGAAAACCTCACCAGGGAGGCGTCCAGGAGGCATCCTGACCAGATGCCTGAGCCACCTCAACTGGCTCCTCTCAATGTGGAGGAGCAGTGGGTCTACTCCGAGCCCCTACCGAATGACCGAGCTTCTCACCCTATCTCTAAGGGTGAGCCCGGCCACTCTTCGGAGAAAACTTGGTCGCTTGTATCCGCGATCTCGTTCTTTCGGTCACTACCCAAAGCTCATGACCGTAGGTGAGGGTAGTAAAGTAGATTGACCTGCAAATCGAGAGCTTCGCCTTCTGACTCAGCTCTCCATGACAGACCGGTACAACGCCCGCATCACTGCATTTGCAGCACCAATCTGCCTATCGATCTCACACTCCAGTTTTCCCTCACTCGTGAACAAGACCCCGATATACTTAAACTCCTCCACTTGGGGCAGGATCGTATCCCTGACCCCGAGAAGGCATTCTACCCTTTTCAAAATCAAGACCATGGTCTCAGATTTGGAGGAGCTGCTTCTCATCCCAGCTGCTTCACACTCGGCTACAAACCGCTCCAGCGAAAGCTGAAGATCATGTTCTGATGAAACCAACAGGACCACATCATCTGCTAAAAGCAGAGACCTGATCCTCAGGCCACTAAAACGGATGCCCCCCACACCTTGGCTGCACCTAGAAATCCTGTCCATGAAGGTTATGAACAGAATCGGTGGCAAAGGGCAGCCTTGGCGGCGTCCAACTCTCACTGGGAACGAGCCCGACTTACTGCCGGCAATGCGGACCAAACTCTGACACCGGTCATACAGGGACCTAACCCCCACAGGGCCCCCCGAGGGACGTGGTCAAACGCCTTCTCCAAATCCACAAAACACATGTAGACTGGTTGGGCAAATTCCCACACACCCTCCAGGATCCCCCTAAGGGCATAGAGCTGGTCCAGTGTTCCACAGCCAGGACGAAAACCACATTGCTACTCCTGAATCTGAGTTTCAACAATCCGACGGCCCCTTCTCTCCAGAACCCCTGAATAGACCTTACCAGGAAGGCTCGGGAGTGTGATCCCCCTATAGTTGGAATAGCAATTTCACTGTACATTATCCTTTAGGCTGTAGATATGTGCAATCAAAACAATCACTTCTGCAAATTTTTGCACCCTGTGTAGTTGCATATTCTGCAGGCTAAATGCACCTCTTGTTTGGATGTGACACTGTAGGTAAATGCAAAGAGCGAGATTGCATTTTATCCTCAAGAAGAAGCAAAACAGACTCAGGGTGAGAATCAGAGCTTAGCTGAGCCAAAGTGCCAGTTGTTAAAGATTTTAGTCAACATCAATAGGTTTTTATTTTCAAGAGACAACAAAGCAAAGAGTGCAGAACGAGACGGTGATATCCACATCCCACCACCAACTAACACTTCACGTAATTAGCATTAAGTGACAAAGTACAACAGACTCACAAAGGCACATTTTTCAACCCTCTTGGTCCTTTATTGCATAAGTGTGTGTGTGTGTGTGTGTGTGTGTGTGTGTGTGTGTGTGTGTGTGTGTGTGTGTGTGTGTGTGTGTGTGTGTGTGTGTGTGTGTGTGTGTGTGTGTGTGTGTGCGCGTGTGTGTGTGTAGATCTGTGTGTTTCCTCACTAGGCTTAAACAGGACGACTAATGTCTGAGTGCAGACAAGAGCTCCTGATCAGGCAAATTTACAGCCTTTAGCCAGCAACGGTGTATGTGTGTGTGTGTGTGTGTGTGTGTGTGTATGTGTGAGTTTGTCTGGGAATGTGTGTGTTCAGTATTTCACTGCAGGGTATCAAAATGGCTTATTCTGCTCTTTACAACCTTCAAAAGGGAAGGAAGAGCACTGCTATTACTTTGAAGAATAATTTTACGGCTTTTCATTATTGCTCTCAAACTGAAAAGATTAATGGCCTTTGTGCCACATAAATTAGCAGGAGAAGTGTGCTTCAGCTGCTTACTTTTGAGCATTAAGGGCACTTTACTCAATAAAATGGGTGAACATTGCTTAAATTGATTATTATATGCAATATGTATGCTGAGGCTTCTGATGTCAGTCGAACTAAAAGCAGTCTAACATCTGATAATCTCATGAAGACGGTCTTCCTTGGAGAGAATGTTTTGAAATGTTTGAAAAAGAATAAAAGAATGAAGGGAATGGTTTTGGGGAGACAGACAGAACACAAAAGGGTGTACAACTTTCAGGAAGAGTTGAGAAATGCTATATACCTGTATTTGTATTGCTTTACTCATTTACATGACGATCACAGATTTGTAAAGGTAAAAAAACAAAAAATAAATATGGAGTCCCCCAAGGTTTCATTTTAGGACACTTAATATTTTTCACATTTGTGCTGAAACTTTGGTATGTGCTCTGAAAACACAGCATTGCATTAGGGACATGAATGTAATAATGAATAAAAATTAAAATGGCCTGATCTAATCTCAAGTATCACCGCTGACAAGTGTGGCTACTCAGCTCCCCATTTCTATTGTGTCCATAGCTTTATGCCAGCTGTGTCATACAAACGCACCAAAATCTTTTCTGGGCTAAAGAACAGGAGTTTTCACCTTCGACATTAGCTGGTGGGGAGCTCAACTGTTGAAAAAGTGAAGTACCATAAAAATGTGCGTTGATTTCACTTTCACTAAACTTGATTTAGCATTCTGCTCTTCAGAGAGCATCTTCTAAACTAGCACCCTCCCGGCACCCATCCCCCCCTCTTCTGTCCACTCCTTGTTCCCTCCTCTCCATGATTCATCATGCTGCCTCACTGCCACCTACCACTGACTGGAAATTGTTTGTTGTTGTTGTTGTTGTTACTGTTGTTGTTAGCCTCAAGGGCAACATGCCGATAATAACTTGTAAGTCGCTTTGGACAAAAGCGTCTGCTAAATACATAAACATAAAACACTGCAACTAATCAACGTAGCTAAAGTGGGTCAAAACATTACAGAGTTGCCTTAACAGTTTTCTAATGAATTCATAAACCATGTTTGGATATGTTTTATAAATATTATCAGCTGTGATGTGTAAATATTTTTTCAAAAGACAAGGTTGAGTAAAAAATTAATATATAACATTGACTTTCATTCATATGTAAATAAAAATCTTACCATTTCATTACAGGGAACTGCTTCTTTTTTGTATTAGTTCACCTTTAGGTGGATTTTCCAACTACATTACGGAGTTATGTACCGGTAATGTGCTTAAAATGCATCGGTTAGATTTTAACTACCACATATTAAAGAGAGTTACGAATTTCTAAGAAAGTCAAGAAAGCCTCATTTTTAGACATTTAATCTTAATTTTAGTCTTAAAAACAGCATTACTTGAAATAAGGAAAATATTCTTAAATATGATCCAAATTTTCCCTTTTTTGAGTAAAAAAAAATCTTCCCCAAAAAAATAAAAATTACAACTGGGGAAATAACAAGTTGCTTGGATTCAATTCTTAAAACTAGCAAATAAATACAAATTTAGACTGCTTTGTTAGTTTTAAGAATCCTAGTCAAGTAACTTTTGCTTACCCCTTTGGCAACTTAAAACAAGACAATTTAGATGTTTAAGAATATTTATCTTATTTTAAGTAGCTATTTTTCTAGAGAAGAGTTCTTTTTCTTTTTAGATAAAAATAATATAAATTATCAAAATTTTTTGCTATTTTACTTTCCTAGGAATCTGTTTTTTAAGTGAAATTCTTTTAATCAGTCATTAACTTTATATATATATATTTTTTGTATGATAATAAAAAGTTGACTTAACCTGAATGTGAATTTGTTGTGTCCTCTCAAAGACGGGGTTAAATTAAGTCAGAAAAATAAATGACAGCCTGAAACTGTCACGTGAAAATAACTTATCACCATAAACACAATCCTCCTGAAGCCTGTTGGTGGAAACACTCTCATCTGCATGTCTGCACGGGAATCAGGAGAGATGGTTTGATTCATGAGTAAAGCTGCTCTACATGCAAGGCATCTCTTTGATATGAACTCAGCTTTGATTAATTAATGATGATAACAATTATACTCGGGGTGCTACCTATCAATGTCACAGACAGTTTGCTACTTCGGTACAATGAAATATTTTCCTCTTTCAACTGACTTCTGCTCATTTCTGACATTCGTAGATCCTAGCACTTAGAACTGCAGATGCCATACCAACTTTATTTATAATGCACGTTTAAAAACGGCATGGCAGCCGACCAAAGTGCTGTACAGAATAAAAAGTAAAAACACAATATTAAAACAAAACACAGTCGACAATAAAATACCCAACAAGCAGATAATCACGGTCAATAAAAAAACACATACATGTAGTAAAATAATAAAAGTCAGGGATTTAAAAATGCCTGGTCGTAAAAGTGAGCCTTAAGTAGCGACTTGAAACGGAGGAGGGATGGTGCCAGCCTCACTGAAAGAGGAAGAGCATTCCAGAGTGTCGGAGCAGCATAGACAAAAGCACACTGCCCCCGCGTTTTGTATTTCATTGTTGGAACGCGAAGCAGCAGGCAGTCAGCAGACCTCAACGCCCGGCTTGGCACATAACGAGTCACAAGATCAGACAGGTAATCCAGAGCCAGACTATTCAGAGCCTTATAAACAAAGTCAGGATTTTAAACTTG